ATTTTGAATACATCCCAAGAATGTAGTCTTTAGCATTCCAAAGCCAATGCACTCCATGCCATTAACAGAATAAGTGGCAGAGTTAATATGGCCACATGAAGGAAAGCCAAGCGGCTTTGGATAGAATTCAATATCCATTTATGAAAAGACATTTTTAAGAAAATCATAACTAATATGAAATATTGAATTCTTTTATTCTGAGATGGCTCAGTGAAAAAATAAGGTCATATGCTATCATCACTTAATTTTACATTGTATTAGAATTTCAACTAGTACTGTATGGTAAGAAGAAGAAATGTTAAAATAAATAAATAAATAAAAGTTTTAAAATTTAAAAAAAGAAGACGAAATGTTAAAATTGCCATTACTTACATGCAATCTAAGTTTCTATAGGTAAATTACCAAAACTGGTAAACTTAACAAATTAATTGCATTTTGGTATTTTAATATTAACAGAAATAAACTATTAAAATAATCTTTTCAATAGCATTAAATATATTAAATGCCAACACAATGAGTATAACAACAGATGTATAAAACTTCTATACTAAAGAGCTAAAAGCATTTCTGGGAGAAATTAAAGAAAACCTAAACCCATGGAGGGGTTCACCATGAGTATGGATTGGAATATGACTTTCTCCCCAAACTGAACCACCGGTCAATGGAATCAGAACTTCAGCCTATTTCTTTTTTATATGCTGACCTTGGTGATTGAAATTTAAATTGTAAATGTCAACATTAGGTAATAGGTGAATGGATATGATCAAAATATATGTGTAGACTGAAACTGAATATTTTGTAAAATTAATAGACACTAATAATGAAAGAAAAATAGACATAAACATAGGGGAAATAGAACCAATACTGAAGAAAAATAAAAAGCAATATAGGAACAGCTTCATACACTGAATACCAAGATGTATCATAGTTTCAGTTAACTTACGTACCGATATTAGTGAGCAGGAGACAGGCACACCTTTGATATGGGAGAGGAGCTCATGTGTGTACAGCTGAAATATGACAGAGCAGCTCCACACACAGAGGGGCAGATAAGAACAGTGAGGTCAGTTACACGTACATCCCCCCAGTGACAAGCATCAACGATGGCCACAGCATGAATAGAAATTGAAATACTACAACAATAAAATGAATAATCATAATATAAAAATCCACTCATGATCTTACTGTAGAGAAAGACGCAAAAGCACTGATGTTTAATAAATCTGAGCCTCTGTTTGCCAAGACTTATTAAGTGCATGAAAAGGCAAGTTATTCATTTGTTACAATAAACTAAGAAACAGTTTTCATATCTAGAAAAACAGAGAACTCATCAATCAATTAAGAATAAGACATTCAAGAGAAAATGGGTGAGAGATTTTTATGCCACCTTGGGAAACCAAAGGTCTAACAGGCTTGGGAAACACTGCTCAACTCTAAATGAAAACAGAGAAGTGTGAATGAGAACCTCATTGAGGCAGCTACTGATCTCCCAGAGTGCCAGAGATTACAATACCAATGTGCCACATGCGCCCAAGCGTGCGGACCAAGGAACAAGGTATGCTGAGACTCGGCCGGTGGGAGCGTGCCTGGGTAACGCCTGTGTCTAGGGCTTTTGTTTTGTTTTGCATGGTTTTGTTTGGTTGGTTTGGGGGTTTGGGTTTTCTTTGTTTTCTCTTTTGTTGGCTTGGTTTTGTATATAACAAATTACCTAAAGATCAGCATCTCTACCCAGTGATTACTTACAGTGTCTGTGAGGCCCAGCAATTCTACTCATGAGCAGACAGCAGATAGAAATGCTGCTCAGAAACACACAGTGCATGCAAGAGCATTCCTGCAACAGAACAGGAACGGCCCAAAGGCCTTCAAAACAGAATGGACAAATAGATTAGTGTTTACATAGGTACAAGTCCTACACATTTCCACACTATAAACCAGGCACAAAAGAGCCCATACTGTATGGTTCCATCTGTATGAAGTTGAAAAAGTATTTCATGTTAGGGTGCAAGCTTGGGCAATAAAACACCAAGGTCAACAACTCACAAGAGATGGTCTTGGAAGCAGCCTATGTGTCCACCAGCAGATGGCAGATAAAGAAAACGTGGTGTTTGCACACAGTGGAGCATTACTCTGCCCTAAAGAAAGATACACTGGAGTTCCAGTAGGAACGTGGTTGCACTTTGAGATCATAACGTTAAGTGAAGTAACTCAGACACTTGAGCGTCAAGATCGCATGGTCTCTCTTACGTGAGAAACCCAAAGTAAATAAAAAAGAGCAACTTAAGAGTTGGATGGCAGGAGACAGGGAGCTTGATCTTTTGCAGAGGGCAAGGAACCAAGTGACACAGGGAGGGACAGGAAAAGGGGCCAAGATGTATTTTGTCCATGAACCAACTCCCCGCCATGAGTGTGCCCATGACATGCTGCAAATAGGTACTAGTAAAAGTGAAACCTGGGGAGAAAGAAACAGGCCCATCAAGTCCAGGTGTGTCCGTGCGGGGCGTAAGAATAATACATATTATCAACAGAGTTCACAAAGCAGCACCCTAATTAATAAAATGACTGAAGGATGAAGAAGAAAATCTTCCTCGTTTGACACTCTGCTTTGTAATTAAGTAATACTCTAAAATGGATGGCATTTTCCTGCCTGTTGGGACAGCTGTGAGACGCAACTTTTGATAATAATTAAGAATGGCAATGCACTTTGGTTGTTCCGTTAACTTTCCATTACTTCAAAACAAACCATGCCCACCTTTGGCATGGGGTAGGAAGACATCACCCCCTCTTCCTCAGGGCGGAAGCGTGGTGCCATGGCCATCCCAGCTCAGGGCTCCCAGGCTGAAGTCCGGGTGCGAGACGGGCTGAGTTCTTGCCTGAAGGCTTTGAGGGAAGTGTATCTTTAACTTATTCTCCTTGCCAGAAGAATTTAATTCTGCTTTTAAACGGCCTGTGAGGCCAGGTCGGGCCACTCTACAGGTCCTCTTGAGGTGGACTGAGCCATAGGACACAATCCACCCCTAAGAATAAAACCCGTCCTATCCCATGGCATGGGTTCAGGGCCATCACAGGGGCCACTCAGGCTACTGCCTGCCGAGGCTGCTGTCGTCAGTGAGCGGGGCCCATCCTAAAGAAGCCCCATAACACTGTGTGCCCAGGGCTCCCTAGGACTCTTAATAAACCTTACTTTAACACTGAACTATTGGCCACAGCTTGCTTTCCTGTGCCTTTGAGAGCCACACTGGTTTTCAAACTGATAGGTTACAACCTGTTAATGAGTCATAAAATCAATTTATTGGCTTACAAACAACTCATTTTGCATTGCAATAATAAAAGAAAATAGAAATATTACAAAGCAATCGAGTGTGATGGTGTTCATTTGAAATCCAGTTTTTAAAGCCGCAGGTGGAAGGTCTGTGTGGTATCCGAGGGGACACCCGTCAGGGTTGGGAAATGCTGAAAGCCCCTGTTCCGAGTCAGGAGAGCCCCGTCACACCACACTCGAAGCCCCCAGGCAGGTCCTCAGCGTCCAGTGCAGTGTCCCTTTGCACTGGGCCAGAAAGTGTGTCCAGGCACTGTGAAACTCTGTGCTTTTGCAACATGAACTTCTCCCAGAAGCAACATAAATGGTTCTTTATTACATAACTTCCATTTTCAGTTTTTATTTCCTTTTTCACCAGCTAGGACAGCCCACAAGGCCTGCCCATGTCTGTATCTCTTTCAGTGTGTCGAATTTAACTGGTCTTTAACTTAACAAGCACTCTCTTCTTCAATCACTGGCATGTTTCTGCACCCTCTCTGCTCTGTTGGAAGGACACTCACTATGAGCAATCGGCCTTGGGAGATGGCTGCTCCTGCTGGGCTGAGTGCAGCCTAATTCCCCACACCCCACATCCAAGGTGATTCCTGCTCTCACCGAGGGCTTCCCTGAGCATCCCTGGGGACTTGGGCTGGGGCGTGAGAGGCGGTAAACCAGGCTCTGTCCTTGAGGCACTTACGCATCTCCAATCTTGAGACGGGCTGCCAGTGTTTCGCTTTTAATTGCTGCTCTTTAATGTCCAACCTGTTTGCTCTCCTAGTCAATTTCCTTGTGTCTCATTGAATATGCTGTTCTCTTTTCCCCTATAGGGAAAACAGGGCTTAAGCAAATGGACAAAATATTTTCGTTCACCAAGTTCTGCTGATCGCACTGCCCGCAGTCGTGCTCTACAGAGCACAGTCTCTGTCATCATCTCACTTTGTGTAGAGAAGCACTAGGCAGGACCCCTTTTGGAAAGAAAGATTTTAACAAGATAACAATGATTTCATATGCGTAGCATGTGCTCATGTGTTTGTGTCTTTAGGGTAAAGAGGGGGCAATGCTCCTTCCACATGAGAAGGGTCATGCTGGTCAATGGTTAAACAGTGTGTTAAGAGTGATTCCATGAGAAAAATGTACTACGGACAATAAATTGAAGCCCACCGAACAGCGGGGTCACCATCATAACTAAATTTAATAAGATATGTCTAATCCTAATTTATTCTGCTCACTGAAACAGGAAGTTAGTATTTTGCTACTTGCTAAGTCAAAGAAAACAAATATTGCTAAGATAATTTCCTTCCCCGTGGAGCAGTTCAGCTGTAGTGTTCACACATATCCCCACTGAAATTTAATCATTAAATGCTACACATTGCCAGAGAGATGAAAGCCAGCAAAGCAACATAGGTTGGCTAGATCTCAAGAGAAAAACCAACATATCGAAGTCCTGTCAGAATAAGAGACAGGAGCCCAGCATGGCAGGAACATGGTTTTACGTAAAGTGTATAAGTGCATTTCCCAACTTCTGCTTACTGGGCCAGTCTGATGTTACATGAAGAAGAACGTCCTCATACCTACTTCGGCTTATTTCATCTTTTCGCACTGCACCAATATGACTGACACCATACATTTTTAAAATAAATGATGGTCCAAGTGGCAAAATCTGGCATAATTGCTAGTAACAGAAATTAAGACTCGATCTTTCAAGGCTGTTTTAATATGCTGTTTTTTAATATATAGGAAAATATTGTCATTGAAAAGACTGGTAAAAAGGCCCACAGGAGACAAGTTGACAAAGGGCCAACCGTAATAATGGTGCTGGTCACGGACAGCAGGGTCACGAAATCAGATGTCTCAGGGCCCCGGTCTCCGTCCGAAGTGAAGGAGGCCTAATGCGAGACTCGAGGGCAAGGCGGAGACACAACTCCACTCCAGCACATCACCGCCAGGAAGGACCTGGAAAACAGGGCCCAGATCTGACAACTCTTCAAAGCAATCCAAACACCTGCGGCCTTTTCTAACACTCTCAACACTTATCGAAGTGAACAGACAGAAGGTACGTGTGAGCCACGCTGAATTCAAAGCTGCTGTATGTGACAATTACAGGGCATGAGTGAAGACTCACTCCGTGATCCACTAGCACATGACGAACAAAGATGTGACAAAGTTTTAGAAACACTACTCTGTCATCATTAACTCTGGAACATGACTCAATTTCAGCTTACCTTTTTGGATACTGTTGACAAAATATACACAAAATCATCCTGAGAGGACACTGTTGGTTATGAAGGGTCAACTTGGATACTGGCCTCACTGCCCAATAAGCAGCTAGTGCAAAACCAGGCATTATAAGTTAAAAACTCTTTAGGAAAGACGCATAGCCCTAAGAAAGGGGAAGTATGATTAGTATCTTTTTCCCAGGTAAATGTCACTCAATTTTATCAGCATATAGAAAGGTACCTTTGTGTTGCTTCAGGTCCCTTCATGGCCTGAAATGTCAGCACACAGTCAATAACTCATTTCTTGTTGATCTTTTAGAACTAATTTTTAAAATGAAACCAGTGGTTGGCTTTTAAGACTCTTTCTCCCCATTTGGCCAGACCCTACTCGGCGTGTCAGTCCGAGTCTCCCCTGAGCACCCTGTTCTCTGCCCTTGGCCTGACCTGTGGGTCACTCCAGTCTCCAAAGCTCACAGGCGGGGAGCGGGCCCAGAGCGGTTCACGTCCTCTCAGCCCAGTCCATGCGCAGTGAACTCTGCCGCAGTCAGTGAGTGACTTGAGCCTTGTCACTGAAGCCACATGGCGCTGGCGTCACCATTTAAATCTGCTCGGTTAGTCTCACAGACAGACTCCACATGCGGCAATGGTCCCATAGGGTTGTAATGGACCAAAGAAGTTCCTGTCACCCAGTGACATGGAGCACGGGGATTCCTCACCTGCCTGACGTGACGCTGGTGCCAAGCCCTGCGGCACTGCCAGCCTGTAATGAGTAGACCTGTAATTAATTATGTGCAGCACATAATAATAACAATAACAAACACTGTGTTATTTGCTCATGTGTTTACCATGCTTTTTATTATTATTTTAGAGTGTGCTCCTTCTACTTAAAAAAAGATAGTTTACTATAAAGCAAGATGCCATCAAGCTAGCAGCTACATGGATTTCTGGGACACTGCATCTCTTGGGGGCACCAAGTGGCCACACCCAGGTTTGTGTGAGTACACACAGTGATGTCCACACGGTGACACCACAGCCCACGCCTGTGTCTCAGGACGTCCTTGTGGGAAAGTGACTTGTGACCTGTAGTTTAATTTGACTCCAACAGCCAGCCTGAATTTCAAGTCCTCGTGGATATGATTCCTCCAACACTGTTAAATTTCATCACTACTTAGGAATCCTGGAAATTTTCCTTAAGGTCATACTACTTCACACTGCATTGCCAAATGGAGCACTGAATATTTTCTAATATTTTTGAGAAATCTTTCCTGCCTGACAGGAGGGCTCTAAAGGAAGAAATTTCAACTGGTGCTTTGCACTACACTCCAAGCAAAGATGGGCAGGATGCGAAATACTGGAAGTTGTAGTTGTAATGAGGAAAGTACAACAGATGAAGAAAAATCTCTCTTCACCAAAGCTCAGTGAACACTTAGTAGCATAGAGTCACCCTCAATGACACAAAATATAGCTATATGCACTACACAGAAATCTAGGTCCACGTGTGGATGTAACGTGAGCCGGGGCTGGGGGAAAGTCTAGTACAGAAATGTAAGGGAGGGAGATTCTGAGTCCAAAGAGAACAGTCTTAGGAGGAGAGAAAAATGTGGACATAAACATAAGTAAATATTAAATGTGAACTCCTTTTCAGGAAGAGCCCTACAGGTGTGAGATAGCCAGGGTCCTACTGGATGCAGGATGTGCTGGGTTGCTGTTGGGGAGGGAGAGAGCGCTCAGCACTAATTCCCAGAAGGTTCAAGGTGGAGGATCTTAACATAGGGAACCAGACGGGAGTTTCAACACCAAGAAGGTGTCTAGGGGAGAAATCTCATTAACAACCAGCCAGCGTGCTGCCCACTCAGGAGGTCACCAACACAGAGAGGGGTAAAGCAGGAGTCCTCCTCCTGATGATGGTTTTGGGGTGACATTTTCAATAGCGTAGTTTTGTGAATTAGGTTTGTATTAGTCTATGTCAGGAGCATTTGTTGAAGTCTTTAGACATGTAAGAAAGGGAAATTAATGAAAATATCACATTTACCGCCCTGAAGACTGAGATAGAGGACAAAGACCATTGTGAGAGGTGCGATGAACCTGTGAACTGAACCCAAGAAGTAGGCGGAGCTTGCCATGCAGCATGGAAAATTTCCTCTCTTTGGCCAGTAGAGTGAAGACTTTCTGCTTCCAGGGCCAGCTGGCCCCTGAGAAAGAAAGGCTGGAACTGAAGCAAAAATGAGTTTGCTTTTCCCAAGTTCTCCAATGAAATCAACCCCTGTACTTGCCAGGAGTGGGGTAAAGTGGTGGGAGACATTGGGGTGTCATGCTGATCCAGTTCCCCTAAAACCGGGTCTCTTAGAGGGAATGATGTCGAGAAATCAGCATAGACAAGTCTGTTCCTGTCTGTTTTCAAGAGCCATTCGAAAAATAACTGCCACTCACTTCATGGTAACAGATATTCTCACATATCACAAATAATAGAATAATAGGATTTTGATAAGACTCTTTATCCAACTATTTAGTCTAGTAAATGAGCAAAATGATTGCACATGGAAAGAAATTGTGGATTACAGAGCAGTTGAAGAGAACTTTAAGAAATCACACCTTGGAAAATTAAATATCAGTTTCTTAATGTCTACTAATTCTCCGTAAAACTATGATTTTTAGAGTTTTTTTCAAAGATAATCAACATTTTACTGGGTCTTAATGCTCACCAATGTCTATCTGATCTCGTAAGGAAAACAGATTGTGCAACAGCATTGATTTCCCTAATAAATCTACTGAGCTGCGACTTTTAGGAACATAGGAGTCAGGGCCAGGGATTTAGCTCAGTGGTTTCACCGCCTGCTGTGCAAGCACAAGGACCCGAGTTTGATCCCCAGCACCAAAAAAAAAAGAACATAGGAGTCAACTTCAAACGGAAGTGCACGGGTCACCTCAAGTCTTTACCCAAGGCTGCCTCGCTCCTTGTGCTGTGGTGTTGGGTATGTCTGGGACATTTTTTCATCTCTAAAATTTAGAGCTGAACAACGTGACTGCTGAGAGCCTTTCCAGATCCGTAGTTTGATACAGTTACTTGTAATCACTTCTAATGTTGTTAAATATTCTCAATCATTTACAAACCAAGTTAAAACCACCTTGACATGTCTTCATATTTGATTGTCTTTTTCCCAACATTTCCCCAGACTCCTATACTAACGCTATAGTGAATACATACTACACACCCTTAAAAGACATGTATGCTATACCCCTCATTAGATCAGTGACACAGACTATCAGGTTTTTGGTTAAATATCTCTTAACTTAAAATCTTAGTTTTTTCCCAATGCTAAGCACTTACTTACACTTACTTCATTCAATACATACTGATGAGAAGCTCTAATTCTCCTTAACAATGCCATATTCACACTGTGGAGGATGTCAACATTGAAAATGAGCACCGAAATAAATACAGGCTGTGCCATTGTATAAGAAACTGCTCAGGTGAGCGGTCAGTAAAAATATACTAGCTGATCGCTAAAACCCAATGTGCACAGAGAGACTCAGGCATTGAATAAATACGGACAAGAACACTGACACATCCTCAGGGCCTTGCAGGAACGCTTCGTGATAAGGATTTACCATCTCTAAATATCTGGAGAATGTAAACTTATTAAAATGAAAATAAAGCACAAAGCTAAATAAACAGCAAAGTTGGAATGTGAGTAAGCAGCGAGAAGCTTGAGGACAGCAGTTAAAATCTCCATGAATTTTATTCCAGGAGAAATAGCTTTTTTCAATTTTTTGAAGAAGTCACTTATTTTCAGATATCTGTACTCTGGCCCTGCAGGCTCAGCTCCCACTGCGGTTCTCCCTGATCTGGACTGACGGAGACTGTGATACTCATGAGTCCTGGGAACCAAGAGTAAGACTAAGTAGAATTATTCTGTTTTGATGATAAAACCATCTTAAATTTTATCTTTCTCACATCATAATGAACTTGAAGTAAATATCTATGTTTCACATCCACAGAAGCGAGTGTTTGCATTGGAACAGTATTTTGTACTCACTTGACACAAACTTAACAGAGGACTCAAGGCTTTGGAGTTGTTGAAAAATAAGAGAAAAAGAATCTTGTCGATTGGCCTGGGTCTTTCTGCTGACAAATTATCCTATGTCTTAATGCAGGTAGATGGACTGTCCTGCAATTCTACCGCAGCCTGTGGGCGCCTCCCCAGGCTCAGCTGCTCCTGCTCCCTGCCTGCAGACGTCTCCATGGGGGACTACTGGCAAGCGAGAGGCTCGCTGACCAGGTGTTTGCTGCTGGAAGATCAATGGATCCTGTCTGCAGTGCCCAGTAAGTCCACTCTACTTCTCTCCCGCAATACCACACCCAGTGCCAAAACCTGGCTGGAGAAGGCTACTAATAAGCACCCGGGATTTTGAGGGATTGGAGACAGAGTTACTAAAGGAGTTTTAGTTGGTGTGAGTTGAAAAGAATACTGATGATCATGGCCCTTTCCATTAGAACACAAACATTTTTTTTCTCCACTCTTAACACCACCCAGAACAGACTCTAGAGTAAGTAAAATGATATATATACACAAAAAACAGTTATTCTAATTAGCTAATTAGTACATTTTGGCAATTAATATTACATGTAATGGTGTAAATGTCCAAAAATGTATTACTTTTTCACAGTTTAACAAGCCTGTAATGAAGACCAGATAAGCCAGAGAGCTCAGGCTGAAGCATCAATTGAATTTAAATTAGGAAAAAGTAGAGTTAGCCTCTTAATAGCTTTGGCCAGTTCATAGAAAACGTTGCTGAAGTCATCTCAAATTTATTATAATGAAACAGGACTGCAAGAGTCAGCATGTTTGTTCTCTGTAGAAGCAGAAATAATGCACTGTACCCCACCCCAGTCAGGTACCAAAGGTAGACAGAGTCACGACACAGTCAGAGAGAGAACTATTTTCAAAATCCATACTCTTCATTTTAAGACATTAAACTTATGTTGATTAAAAACAGTTTCACTGATCATACAGCACTAGCATTGGAGTAAAATAAGTCATTCAATTCTTCTTTGGGTTGGTTTTTGATATGAAAATGCACCTTTCTACAGTTCAGTCTTCACCTCAACATCCTAGACAATAAAATAAGTGGTGTCTACTTCTTTGGTCTATTTGGGTAAATTGAACGTAACTCACACACTACAGGAAACATGAATTTCCATATTCATAGTCGATGCTTGCAGCCTGCCTGGGCTGGGTCATGCTGGGATAAACAATCCTGGACCACAGTGGCCCACAGCAACAAAAGCTCTGTTCCACTGCACCCTTTCTGGTCCAGGGCTCAGCCTGTTTCTGCTCACTGTTCTCTTCTGAGCAGCACACAGGCTGACAGCAGCCTTCGGCCCAGGTGTCAGCCAGCTCTCAGTGAACACACTCCAGCACAAAGTTTCCAAGCAAAACAGCCAGCAGCACTCTTGTTCACATTTTCTTAGCCAAACAAAGCCAGCCCTATTGCCAGGCCTGATGTCAGTGGGATTCAAATAGACTATAGTCCTTCCGGCTGGGGAGGTGCTAAGAGGCACAGCAAGGAAAACAAAACAAACAAACTGAGCCTCGGTGTAACAATCACAGAGCGCTCTCTGAGTCACAGATATTTACATCCTCTCTTCATACACCAGGAAACAGCCCAACAGCACCATCGTCCCTCCAGGGCCTGAGGCTCAACATCTGGGGAGAGAGGCAACAGGAGGTCCTGCGTGCCCTCTCCATCCACACTGGATTCAGACACCAGACTGGAAAGCCCGCAGTCATCCCTCCCCACCCCACCCTCCTCCCAGGAAGCCACGGAAGAAAGAAGGCCGGCAGCAACTGTACGTGGCCCTTCCCTACTGCAAACTCGCCCTCATGAACTGCACACCCACCTTGCAGAAAATTATAAACACCGCAAGCTGTGTGGCCCCTAAAATTCAAACATGGCTCCTCTGCCTCCCAGTGCGGCTGTGTTTGAACAGGTGGCCCCTGAGGAAGTAAGGCTAAGTGGCAGGGCCCCAGCCCGATAGGATTGCTGTTCTTTCAGACACACAGAAAACCAGCTGTCATGCCCCGTCCCTGCACCCTGGCCACACACACACCACACACACACACACACACACACTCCCCACACACGCGCCAGGAAGAGAGCGGAGCCCAGCAGACAGCCCGGCCTGTGCCTCGATCCCATACTTCCGCGCTCGGGGCTGCGGGGGTGAAGCTGCGGCATGCTTTTGCTTATTCTGTCTCCTTGCTGCACCCTCGCGGTCCAGAGAGCAGGAAGTGGCTCTTGATCGATGCCCTTCTCCCTGGGGAGCAGCACTCTCCTCCACGTCCTCTGGAGTCCTTCTCCATTATGCTCTTTAGGGCGGCATTAGAGCACATGACCTTCCCGGAACAGGAGCAACTTTCATATCCTGATGTCTGCCTATGATAGAGAGCAGCAGTGGGATCAAGCTTTGAAAAGCTTATCTCCTGTCTCCTTATCTAGCTGAGAAAGGTAGAGATACTCTCTTGACTACAGCACCCCCACTTTATCTGCAGGGGATACAGCCCAAGATTCCTGGAGATGCCCAAACCCCCTGTACCAAACCCTATAGATACTGGTTATTTCCATGCATACATACCTAGGATAAAGCTCAGTTTATGAATTAAGCATAATAAAAGATTAATGATAACTAAGAAGACAGAAATATAACATATAGGGAAACAAAATTCTCAGCATGACTGTCTTGCATTTGAAGTCCATATAGAATAAAATAAGGGTTACTTGAGAACAAGCAGTGGGGTACTGGGATGGTCAACCTGATCGTTCATGTGGCTACCCTGCCTAACAGGCAGGTACCATGAACAGCTGGCTGTGTGAATTGAACAAAGACAGGATTCACATCCCCAGCTGATGGAGCAAGACCAGGCAAGATTCCACAATGGCGCATCATTTTAAAAATATAAGTGATTCATTTCTGGAATCTTTCATGTACTGCTTTTGGACCACAATTGGCTGCAGGTAACTGGAACTGTGTGAATGGAAACCATGGATAAGAAGGAAGGGTCCCTCATGAGTGGCTCAAAGAAGCATGACACACCACGGACAACAGCAGTTGTTTCTAGATTATTCCTCCCATCTATCTTAGCTCCTCAGGACTCCAGGAGCCATGACTTTAGACTCTTCTCCATGAAAAATTTCAACCAGTTGAAAGAATTCAGTGGATGCCGCCTCTATCAATTTTAACAAATAGAATTAAGGGCCACACCTTTGTTCATGTCCAAGATATTTTGTCTGTTTTTATTATCCCTTGTTGCAACAAGGCCTTTGTAGTTTCTTCTTTTAACAGTGGGAGCCTGTTTAAAACTGTATGTGGGCTATCCTTAACCATGTTTGGCAACTAATTGCAAAAAAAAAAAAAGAAGTGAGCTCAGAAAAGAACTGGCTGGTTTGTAAGCAAAAATGAAATAGAATAAAGCCAGGAGAAAAAAAGAAATCAAAAATCTTATAACAAAGGATATCATTTCTGCTCATAGTTCATTGATCAAACCAAAATACATGCCCAATCATACATCAGTGCAAAGAAGAAATATAAGTCCTTTCATAAGGGAAAATAGTGAAAATTTTGAATGCTGATGCAGTCTATCACAAGACTTCACACTACATTGAAGCTTCTCTGTGTACATCTCTCCAGCCATGGGTAGGAAGAGCAGATGGCACCATCAGCCTCACTCCCCAGAGCCTGAAATGAAGCTCAGCAAATCTAAATTGGAACCCAAGATCACAGAGCCACGAGGATGAAAAGCTGACCCCAAGCCCCAGATAGCTAACGTGGATTGCCACATCTTATCAGCTGCAGGAAGCTGGTACTCGTGAGAGACAAAGACCATGAGACACAGTGCAGGACTGCAAAGGCCCCAGGGGGCAGGGACATGAAGGTGAGGGACAACACTCAGGTCCTGGAGAGTTTTGGGAGCCATTCAGTGGCCATATGGGCTTCAGAAGGCCACTCAGTCTCCCTGTGACCCAATTCCATCATCTGTAAAGTAGAAATCATTTTCATTTAGTATTTAATGCAGATTCCCAGACACTAGCTTAATACATATATAGTTTATACTGCATTAAAAATGAGATCAAGAACATGGAAAAGAAAAATGGAAAGCAAGACAAAATATTAACTAGGCACATTTTCCTGGACTTTTGTCTCTCAATAATGTATGTTTCTCACTACAGAAGATGAGTTTAAACAAAAAGATATATGCAAAAACCAGGCCTTTCCATCTAATTATGTAATTAATATGAATCTTCATGCACAGCCATTTAAAATTCCTAAGCTTTTACTTAAACAGCAAAAGCACAGGATTTGGATAATAACAAGAATTAGGAAAAGAATATACACCGATTTAATGTCAAATACAAATTGTTTTGAATGTGGGACAGGAATATTATCATCTTCATGTTGCCAGATGAAACATTTCTGGTCCAAGAGGAATAACTACTTACATATTAAAATCTTGGACTTAGACACTGATGTGTGATAAAAACTCAAAAGTTCTCATTCTAGATAATCGTATTCTCTTAGTCACTGGCATAACTGATGCCAAATTTACTCTCAGTTCCATTTCTTATCAGTTCTTTGCATGGACATATCATAATATCAATCTCACATAAAGTGAGAGAAGTGCCATTTTACTACCCACTCTGTATCACTATAACATTGAGATGTTAATACACAAGGGTTTAAATCTCAAACACATTCCTTTCACCCTGTTCATAAAGTTCAGTGTGACTCCATAAACATAACATACAAAAAAGTCTTCCATTATTACTCTGAAATCCAAGCTTGAACATGCAGAGAAACAATGTGTTTGGTGGAAATTTTAACAACTATCAACGTCCAATGACTATCGAGTTTGGACATTTCTGCTTTGAACCAGTTGAAATTCACACCTCCAGACATCATGAAATCATACACACTGCAATGAAAGGAAATTGTTCAGGGGGGAAGAAAACAACCCTAAGTAATGGACAAATTTAAATGGAATTTACTTGTAAAGCTGCAAAAATCACCACTGTTAAGTTACAAAGCCATAGGTTCCCCTCAGTGAGTCGCGTCAGGAGTAGCATCAAGCACATCGGACAGCACCGAGCCTTTCCCACTCGATTAGGTCTGCAGTGGGGAGACCGCACCTTGAGGAGAGGGGATCACAGGAGTGATGACCAGAGCTGGCACCTGTCACAGCCACAGGAAGACACTGCACACAAGGACAGCTCACAAACAGGCTCGGAGAGAAAAATGGTCACATTTGGCACCTGCTAAGCAATGAGGAAACGGTGCATGCTGGGAAAACTGTTTCACGGTAGAGGATGTCCTTTTTTTTTTTTTTTTTTTGGTACCAGGGATCAAACTTGGGTCCTTGCGCTTGCGCAGCAGGCGGCGAAACCACTGAGCTAAATCCCTGGCCCATGTCAACTTTTGAAAAGTAAAATTTGACTCTATTTTTCTACTGGTTGATAGGCAACGGTTAAGGGAAAAACAAAATCACTTCTTAGGGCCGGGGATTTAGCTCAGTGGTTCCAGCACCTGCCTTGCAAGTGCAAGGTCCCAAGTTCGATCCCCAGTAACAACAACAACAACAAAAAATCACTTCTTAGCTATTATTCCTATAAATTTTTAAAAAGTAAAAGAACCTAATGCTGGTGAAATTATGTGCACATGGAATTTTCATACTCAGAACATAAACTGCACAGGTTTTCTGGATGGCAATATTGCAACACACTCAACAACCTAAATGGACATAATACTAAGCAGTTCACGTTTTGGATTTGTTGTGTGGAAATAACATAACAAAGGTACATGTCATTGTGAAGCTCCTAAGCCATTGTGTCATAAGTAAAAGTTGGAATGAGCTAAATATTCACTAATAAAAAGTTTTGAAAGTAGACTCTATCCATACAGCAAATTACCATGCAGCTATTAGAAAGGATCGGATAATCACATATACTGTGTGAGTAAAATCAGGTTAGTTCAGTATGTGTCATATAGAACACATACACATTGAAATAAACATTAAAGAAGGAAGACAAATGCCGACCGAGCTTGCCTCTGGAGAATGGGACTGCTGGATCCCTGGAACCTTCCAAGCCTATGCAGATCTGAAGCCTGGACCAAAACCAGCCAACAGGACACACGGGCAAGGCGACATGCTCCTGTGTACACACACGTACGCTGTTGGCCATCTTATTTGTGTATTTTGCATGCAATGTCTTTAGAGGACTAGCAGCTTTTTAACACTGGCAAATATCAGAAATAAACCAAGAAAGAAGAGATTATCTTGGCTCAGGGGTTCAGAGGTTTCAGTCCATGGTTGGTCAGGTCCTTTCTTAGGACCTGTAATGGGAAGAGACATCATGGGATACAGGCATGGCAGAGGAACGCTGCTCACTGCAGGGCAGAGAGGGAGCGAGAAGCCACCCAGCAAAGAAAAGGCAGGGGGACCAGAGACTCCTCAAGGCCCTGCCCGCAGTCCACTCCCTTCACCACCTGCTTCCTCCCACTGATGCCACCAGATCATCATCTCAGCGACAGATTAATCCCCAGCAGAAGTGAACTCTTATGACCCAATCACTTTCTACAGCCTTACCTCTGAACACAGAGATGTGGAGAGACATCTCAGGTCTAAACCATAACGATGCCGCAGGGTACTTTCATGATATGATGACTGAGATGGGGAAACGGCCCATAATTTCTAGACTGCTTCCCGTCTTATCTCATACTAACAGCAGAAACTTAGCATTGGGGGCAAGTGATGGGACAATTACAGTATAATATAAATTAGTGTATATGTAGTATCGGCTATAGTAGTGAAAATATCACATATATATCAAAGCACTTTTCTCTGTCTTCTTTTCCCAGTGGCAGGGATCAAACCCAGACCCTGCAGCCACTAAGGAAGCACTTCTCCACAGTTACACCTGCAGTCCCAAAAGTGCTTTTTAAGTTTCAAAGCCACACCTTGCACAGACACCTTCCACCCTGTGTGTCTTTCCCTCTCTTTCCGATATAAGCAGGAGTTTTGCAGTAAAGTTGGTTTTTAGCCAAGCCCTAGGTCATTCTTACTCTCCAACTGACGAGGCCAGGTTGTACGTCTGAGTTCCTTCGTCAGGCCCCCAGCACAGGGAGGGACAGGGAGTGAGCAGTCCCCACCCCCACCCCCAACCCAGAGCCAGGAGTGGTCGCAGTCTGTGCGGAGTAGAGAGATCTCGAGTTTGCCAAAGACATTTCTGCGGGGTGACTCCCTTTTTCCACGACCGGAACAAATGCCCTATGTCATCCACATCACGATATTTGGAGAAAGGGCTATGGCAGAGCCACTCTAAGATGGTAATAGTGT